AAACGTTTCATTGGTTATTCTAGTAAAAAGGCAACACACTGCACAGGAAGATCTGTCCTTGGCTTTACTAGGCACGTGATAGAACTATAGAGTCTCAAGCCAGTCCGGACTTACCCACAAATCACTGGAATACAAAATTAGCTATAGATGAAATTAAAGGATGTTCTCAAGGGCCTCGGTATAAAAAATTGTGCCTTAGGAAAAACTGTCTCACTAGTACTCTCTGGTGTAAAAAAGATTTTGGGCAATCAATCGTGAGCAATCTGGTTATGAAACCGGACAGGGTTATGATAATCATATATTCTTGGTAAGATTAATTGTGCACCATAAAATTAGATCAAAAGCTAGCTAGTGGTGGATTTTAGTGGTTCATCCTTCTGTCTATATCAAAGATTACACATGCCCAGGAAACCAGAACTCTAATACCATGTTAATGTTAGAACAGACAATGATTAACACAAAGGCATATAATGTCCAATCATGTGGCTTACAGGACTTTGCAGTTTTTAAAAATGGAGATCTGGTGCTTTTCTCCAAATGTTAAATTCTAAACTACCATTTACATTACAGTTATGTTAAAGAATCACTCATAAATTTATAAATGATAACAAAGGTACATAGTAAATACTTGCCCGATCTCTTAGACAATGCGAAGGAGGAAAATTATATTATAACTTGAATTAAAATTATCCACAACAAGGATTTACCTTTATGTAAGTCGTTTGATTTTCATGATCCTAATATAGAAGATAATATTTAAGAGCTATCTAAAGATGAGGAAGAGGAAGTTAAAATCTTAGGATAATGAGATAATTCATAGGACACGACTGCGAATCAACTTTTTATGCCCCTTAATGCAACGTATCACCATACTGGATAAAAAAGAACACGTACCGGGTACCATTCTTTTGTGACAGGATCTGGGCGATCCCTTCCTCCACTAGGTGCAATCCAAATAAGTTTTGATCCACCCCTATAATGAGGAAAGAAAGAAATAAACCCTCCAAGGAAACTGGTAGTATGGAAAAACTTAAGTATATTCTCCAAACAAGTATGTTTATGATCAATTTATTTAGTCAAATACATCCTCCATTTGTTGCAAATTGTCTATCAAGAGTTTTAAGGATTAAGAAAACTAAAAATTTGATCAACACACTCTTAGTCAAATAATAAAATTCTCAAGCAGTCTACTCCCATCTCTCATAACTACTAGACTACCAAATATTGGTCTTAATTTCTTAAAAGTACAGATAGAAAGTGGCTAGAGATTCAAAACAACATTTTCCAAGAAAATTAAGCCTCTAAGACGAGGATAAAAGGAAGCAGAAACTACCAATTTGACCAACATCATAGCCCACCACTATCATCACTGTATTTGCCCAAGGCAGAATGTGAAGTAAATTGATAAATGGGCTTGCGTAGAACTCATCCCCAAAAGCTAGCTCAAAGGGAGAGGGTGCCCAACCCACATTTATACACATTAACATCCCAGTAACTAATCGATGTAGGACAAACAAAACTTCAAAAAGAAAAGGTGAACTAACCAAAAGTCTCATGGTCACAAAAGAAAGTTAGGAGTCTTAGGACTACTCAACTTTATAATCTATTCCACGGTAGATTCTAGAAGCCTTTTAACATCTCAATATCTCTTTGGTGAAAAAGCCGTGCAAATGTAGTAGCTATATCTTGAATCTTTAACAAATGGTAAATGTACCTCAAAAGGATTGCCATTTCTTTCAAGCTTTTCGTGTTAGCTCTTTTTTTCTTATCTATGAGCTTAGGATCATCATTCATGTGTTTTTTTGAATACACGCATAGAAGATTCCTGGCCAATTAAAACCATGAGTAATTAGTCAAACAATAAAAGGCATACATCCGAAACATCAGTATTGTCAAGAACTGAGCACCTTCCCATACTAAATGGTTTGCAAAGGGGATCTGTAACCACTCTATCCCCTGCCACGCAGATCTGCAATACAGTGAATAATGTATTGACATGTTCAAAATTATCTACATGCACTCTGTGCCCTTTATTATGGCAATTTAAGTTTAAGCAAATATGTTACCATGTTCTCAGCAATAAAAGGATTACTGGATTCAAGCAACAAAGAAATAATAGCTGGATCTGCTTCAGTTTGGTGGTTGGAAATCAAAATAACGTTTTCTCCCTGAAATTTACGACGATAGATACCAACCAAAACCAGATGAATAAGCACGTACAGAGCAGCTATGCAAACAAAACATAACCTTCAGTATGCTATATCATTACCAAATATTGAGTTCAAGCAGTAATTAGGAACTGAGGTACTCTATAATTAGCTTCAGAGAGTTAACAAGTATAATTTAATGAAAGAAAAGCATGGAAAACAAATAAATTACTTGACAGATGAAGAATGAAGTCAGGGTATACGGGGCTTATGAGAAATTAGAGAAGAGAATTGTGGTCAACAAAATAGGATAGAACACAGAGGACAACTATGGTTTTAAGTAGATAGTCTATGATGTCATTTGGTCTAATTGAACCAGGATGTGTATCTATAGGCTAAAAAAGTAAGTAAATCATCCTATTAATTAATTTACTGAAATTTTGTATCCTATTATTTAATTTACTGAAATTTTGTAAGCCACCACTAGAAAAAAGAAAGATAACATGATAATTTGATTTACTTCTCCATTACAGCAAGCATATATAATTATACAAACAAATGTAGAAGCACAATCGAAAGAAATGAGCAAATGGTGCAGTGCTACATACGCAACGGAAAAAGTAGTTTGAACTTATTATACACATGCTCTGCTGAAAAAGATATATTCTCAGACAATAAAAAAAAAAAAAAAAAAANGTAAACAGAAACAGATTTTCTGAAAGAAACACTTGCGCAACAGCAATACAATCACAACAAGATGCAGATTTTGATAACGGTTGACAGAAGAACATAATAACATTCACCTGCTGAAGTTTCTTTTCCATTTCATTGAAGAGGGAGATGTTTCCTACAAATGAGTTTCTAAAATGTGAAGTAGGTTACGATTAGGCGGCAGTTCAACACTGTTCAAAATCCAAATGAAGAATTCTATACCTACAAAAAAGACGGGACAACACTTTATATACAGATAAAACAAATTCAAGACAGGTGCATAGAAACTGAATGGAACATATTTAGCACTTTCCTCTCAAAATTTTCTAATACTGACTATAAAGTTGCACCAATTTGACAATCTATGCCCACCGCCGAGGACTTGTTGGTCTATTCTATCAAGATTCCTCGTCAAATAAAAGTTAAGGAAATAAATAAGGGAATAATAGACACTCAAAATAATACAATTTTATTACTTATTTCATAATTTCATTATGAAGCTTCCAACATGAATTCCCTCTGCAGCCACATTGCCAACAGTTGTTTGATATGAAAGATGATGCACAATGCAGTAAATTATTTGTAAAACAAAGCTATACTTTTAGAATATGTGCTGGTCTGCTCTTATCAATGATTTCATGTAGTCAGCACAGAAGGAAACCATATAGTATCAACCTACGAGGTAATGAAATCTCAAAACAATGTAACAGACAATGAACAAGCAGAAAAACACGTTAACAATGATAAAATATATATCATTAAGAATGATATGAGCTCACGAGTTAGTAAAGCAGTGAAGAGTATATAATTGTTCAAAAGAAGAATCACAAGCTAGTAAAGCAGTAAATATAACAAGGAAATTGACTCTGACTTAACAATATCTAATTTAACACACAGACACCATTTTCTGGTCAAAGAACTAAGATCAACACACTTAGTCATTTCAAGCATGCTTCTGCAACTAGAAGCAAATTAAATAGCAACAACTGTGTAGCGCTTCACATCTCCGATCACACTCATCTTTAGTACTGTCAACCAGAATTGACATGTACGCTCTACAGAAGTTTTGCCTCATTGCTATGGCCCAGACAAGCAAATGGTAGAATTGGCCAATTAAAGGCAACAAGCGTTTGGACCCCATCTTTCTCTTTCGCCCACCAGCTGGGCCCCAAAATTACTTAAAGTTTATGGTAAAGTAATCTAAGCTTACTTTGCCAAACCCACTTAATTCTAGAATGAACATTAAAAAGGACCTATCAGTATTAGCCAAGATGTCGGCATAAAAAGACCCAGGCTATATTAATTGACATTGAGTCCATCAGCATCTTAGATCTAATACTAGGAAGATAATTAAAGGCATAGTAGTCCACAAACCTGATATCAAGCAGTGGACCAATATATTTTTGACCAAACATGTAATAGTCGAACGGTTGTCGAATCGCTTTGTGGTATGGTGAGAATTGAAAAGGATCCTGAAATTTTGATTTTACCAAGTGAACAATTTTTTAAAGAAACTAGCCGGATACATGGCAACCAACAGTTGTGAATTGAGATGACAGTGCAGTGACTACCAGCACATCCATGAATATACGATCTAATGCAGCAGCCATATTAGCAAAGAAAATCTCGTGAGCTTTCGGGTGACCACTGTGGAGAACCTGGATGTCAAGACATAAGCAATAAATTACACTCAAATTAGAGGACTGACAAAAAAATGGGAAGAGATATAATGATTTTCACTATCATGAAATAAATCTTTTGAGTAACAGTTGAAAAATGAAGATTTAATGAGCAAGAGCTCAACCAACTAGGAAAAGAAAAATCAATACTTCTACTGGAACATCACAGCTGACCATTACATATCTTTTGGACACAGCTTGGATCTAGGATAAGCAAAGAGGCAAAAGTGGTTTCTATCGATACGTTTCTAATCATATGTTTGTATATGACACTCCTACTCCCCCAACAGCATAAATACCAAAAAGCCCATATTTATACATGACAGAGAACAGCTGAATGTGGAAATGAAACTGGACTTGTCTTGTCAACCTATATTCATTTTCCCAGAAATGAAGAATACATAATTCACTGACATATCATGAGGTAACCAATGTCCGAAAACTAAAGATACACGTTATGCATGTTTTATCATGCCAGTTTCAACTTTTAATCAATTGATATCAAAAAATACACTTTGCAATAAAAAGAGAATAACGAGTCAATAGTTGCTGGAATTAAATTTTGTATAAAGTCAGGCTTGTAGATAGTATAGCTTATCAACTCAAGTTTCTCATTATTTCCCCTTTTCCTGATTAAATTTGTCATAGAAGAGTTATAATCTCAGCTGGCAGCGTTTATGACAAATTTGCGGAGGATTCAAACGAAATGAAGAGGTGTATTCTACAGCCATAAGGATGCTCGCTGAATTTGTGAGTAACAGATTAAGCAAAAAAGGCTCAGTGCCTTTGATATACTACACCTAATAACAACATTGCAGCATGAACATAATTAGATTAAATTACTGCATTTCGGTAATTGTGATACAACTCTTCCATCCCCTGAGCAACATTTATTGGTAACCTTCCAGCTTCTGCTTCTTTTTGGATCCCCAAAAGCAGGTCTGCAATCATAAATATCATGAAGACAGCAATAAAGGTAAATCATCCGGATTAAACACCTAAAAGTGTATGGTTTCATCCCAAAAGAAATTTACCCACTTTTTACAGTTTGAAATGCAAATATGTTTGTTTTGCTCAATCTATCATTCCATCTTCAACTTCTCCTAGTTGAAATTAATTCTCACACCTATATATTCCATTTCAACTCTAGAATGAGAACCGGTACAAAAATCCCAAACTCAACTTTAAGCATTAAAATTCATTACATAAGTGGGTCACATTCACAATACTACCATCTAAATTCCCATAAATTTTGCCCTTGAAAATCACTAAGTACAAATTAGTAAACACAATATTATTTTTTTCCCACAGAAAATGATAAGTTTCTACTCACAGGTAAGTCGCATTGGGACTTCATATGGCTCCATAATGCCAAGATTAAAAAATCATATACCACTTCATGGAAAGTTGGTTAAAGAGAAAATGTTGTGACAAATAAAACAGTATCGTATTCCAAAGTCACTTATCGGTATAACAATACTAAATCAGTTCAATAACACAAATTTCTCTTCATGACACTGGAAAGCTTGCATCCTCATGAAAAACTCAATTATACTCAACAAAGTTAGGAACTGAATCAATTTAGAAAAGGCAGTCAAAATTCTAATATATGACAATTGCAATGCTGAACTTCAAAAGGCAGTTCTTTTTTTTTAATACAACAGACAATTGCACTCACTTAAGTGTGTATATTTAACAGGTTAGACAGAAGGAAAAGCCATTGCCAATAGAAACGAAAGGAACATTAACAAAAGGCAAGATATATTAAATTTGTTCAATATTCTTGAAAACTATTGAAGACTTTCTTCATGTCTGGACATCTTACAACTAATAACAGGAGATATTATTGCTCCACCATTGTTGAAGGCAAACAAAAATCCTATGGATACAAAAAATCTAGTCATAACAACTTAAGTAAAACTATGTGATATTATGCTCTTTTTATCCATAATTAATGCCACACAGCATATATTGGCTGCACTAAGGGTAATTTCAGCAGACGCCACCATCTAGAATAATAGCAAGCAACTCATCAGAATTAAAAAATAAGAAAAAAAAAATTGGACATACCAAATTCACCACCCAAAAAAGAGCCCAAACTGAATAGAACCTATTAATGGCATGGACAAGAATGAAAATGCATTTCCTCACATTTAAAACATGCTGTTGTATAAAAAATGTGAGTGTACTAACTCCATAGAACTATCTGAATGAAAAATCCCTGATATTGTAATCCAGTAATCCAAGGGACGGATGGCACATCCAAACACATACTTCAAACAAAAATACAAGCCGAGTAATTAATTCAGGCTTAATAAACATGGATTGGCACAAAGAGGCGCACAAACGTACACGCGTGTGTTTTACATTCTCAGTCCTCAAGTCAGTAGTTACACAGAAGTCAATGGTACGGAGGCTCGCGCAAAACGTAAAGAGCCATATAAAATTATTGAACACCATAAAATCAAAATCACATGATCATAGCAAGCTCATTCAATACGTCGTCAGAAATGAGAAATTAACCTTGTTCCGTACGCGCATCAAGAAAAGTCCGAGGCGCCGAAATCTCGTCCCGGCCATGGGAGGTGGAGGTGGTCGCCTCCACGGCTGCCGCGGCGGCGGCGGTACTTCCGGATGATCTGTTCCTCTCATCAATCGCCTCCGTCAGTCCCTGCAGCTTCGAGGAGCAGAAAGCGAGGCACGAACACCAACTGCGCTTCCGAGCGCCGAGGAATTTCAAGGAGCAAGCGATTCTAGAAGTGGACGGCGAGGCGGAAACCCTAGTAATGGCGGTGGAGTACGTTGAGAAGCTAGTGGTGGAAGAAGATGAAGTAGAGAGAACCATTGTGGACGGTTTGCGCTTGTGTGGGAGTGTGCCAGTGTGGGCGCTTTATGGTGTGTGTGAAGAGAAGAGATGAGGCGGAGATTGACTAATAAATATAGTAAGCTTTTTTATGTATAAATAAAAATTAAATGCGGTTGGCAGATCTAATTTATGTATATAGCTTTTTTTTTTCTTTTTTTTCTCTCCCTTTCTTTCAGTACTAGTACAACATGCACGGATTTTTGTTAAGAAAATTATATTTTAAATTAGAAATAAAAAAAAAATTGTTTTAATTATCATATTTTTTTAATAACTATATTACTATTTATATGTAAAATAACAAACATCACTTATACGAATTACATTATTATATTATAATAATTTTTTAAAAAAATTATATCATTTAACAACTTTGTAGTTAAATTGATTTAACTAATTTTATTTTTAATTAATACTAATAGGTAATTTGATTTTTATTATAAAGATAAATATAATTATTTATTTATTTTGTATATACAATACATGTGTTAAATCAAAACTCATTAAGACATGATTAATATAATTAATAAATAAAAGATTATTAACTTTTAAATCTACTTATAATTTAAGTTAGTAATTTTTGCATAATTTTAAAAGAAAGATGAGAAAAAAAAATTATTGTCCAGTGTAGAAAATATAATACAAATGCTTTTAAAAATACCATAATATATTGTATATGTATGGTTATTCCAAGCCTAATTATTTTTTGATTGAGAGTAAATTAAAATTTATCCAAGCCAAATAACAAAATCTGAAAATTTGTCACATAGGATCCTGAAGCATGCTAGCTTCCCACTTAGGATTACCACATTCGAGAATTATATATAACGGGAGTGCCATGCTAATTTTAATTGCTATTCCAAACTCTTTTGTTATCTTTTAATTTTAATCTTATATAAAATCCATCCATATACATACATGCAATGCTTTTCGAGCATATATATAAATTGTTGGTGCTTTGCAATTTCATGTGTTTATTTCTACTAGTTTCTAATCAAAGTGTCGAGTACTTTGAAGCAATTTGTTTAGATATAGACCACTATACATGCCTATCAAGGTGCAGGAAAATGTAATCCAAGTGATAACAATACAAAATCAACATTTGTAGTCTGGATAACAAAGTTTGTAGGTGCAAGAAAATGTAATCCAAGTGATACATATCAAAGTTCGAAAAATCATCAGACAACTAAAATCTTGTGTAGTACCTTAGTGACAGTCAGTCAGTCTCGCCCTCTCTTTTGATCTGGTTACTATCAAAATCTAACAAATATTGTTTCATATTCGAGTACCAACTTATCCTAGAAAGTTCATAATTACCAAGTGAAGAACCAAATTGCAGAGGACAAAATCTGCGAAGGCACGTTCGGGAGGTAAGTCCTGCAAATCGAGAGAACACAGCATGAAACGATCAGAATAAGGAACATTGGTAAAAGGAAAGGTACGGAGAAGACGCAATGACTTGGTATTTTCATTACCCACGCTTTTCTAAAATTTTTGGCATCGATTTTCTTAATTTCCGATGTTTTAGGCTAGTACTATTTACAATATAACATGTCATGCTAAGAAGCGGCAGAAATTGTCAGCCACACCATTTTTTTTTTATTTTTTTTTTTTTAGCAGAGAAATTCTTCAATCCAATTAATAGCAGGATTAAACAACACAAAAGTTGATAAAGAAATAAACTGGAGGCAATTGTTCTAAAAAAAAGACAGTAAGTTAAAAGTAAAGCCACTAATCATCAACATTTAATATTGTCCATTGTTGGATTATGAATGAGATTATCAACATACAAAATGGATCAAACAAAATACATCTCGAGAGAAGGTACCTTAAATTCCTTGTTCTCTTTGTTTACTTGAATCCGAAGGCAAACTGTGAACAAAGAGCACCAACAACCAAATAATTATGGAGTTTCTCCATATTAAATAGATATAACGCAGGAAAAGAAATAATTGTGCCTTCAACTTACCAGCAAGAACAGCAGTTCCCACACAAGAAAGTAACCCCGAAAGAAAGGAGTTGAAGGGGAATGATCCAACAATAGCCATGTAAGCTACCTAATTATCAGCAAAATGAAATAGGATTGTCAGGTCACGCTTATCCATCTAGAAACGCACAATACAAACTCGTTTTTCATAAGAAAAAATGTGCATGAAGAACGTGAGACCAGCTCTCTTATATGACTAAAAGATCACAAAACAACCCACGTATCCTAATTTTGTCATCATTTTTTTAAAGGAAAAAGAGGTCTACTGCTCATTTTGCACTACTCACGTGTTTAATTAATAGCGCAACTAGGTGATCAAAATAACACTAACAGTCTAACATAGGGGAAAACAAAATTATTTGTCCTTAGGCTCTAAAACAGTAACTAGAAGCCAGGAGGTCTATTTAGGTAATTCCACTTATGTTGTATCCCCAACTGATTTGCTGTCTCCATTGTTTAACCATATCAGTAATCCATCAAATGATAAATCACAAACATATTGAATGTGATATCAAACTAATCGATAAATTAGACAATATGCAGACCTTACGACAAAAATATATGAAACAGACTCTCATAGTCTCTAAACTACCCAGCACAATCCAAACAGTCTTTAGCAGCATATCTGCACATAGCCAATCCAAGTCCCCAACCCAAAGGTTAACTCAAAAATTTGGATACTATTCAGCTCAAATATAACTATGGCGCCAATGTCAATGTTCTCCATAATAACGTATAAAATGGACTCTCATAGTCTCATATCCAAACTACCCAACTCAATGCTATCCTAATAGATCTTTAGTAACACATAGAAACCCAAGTCTCCATACCAAACAAATGTAGACTCAAAAACATCCAGATACAACCTATCATTAACAAATCAGAGCAGAAAATACACAAGAACCTGCTCTGAATCTCCTTACACACAAATTTATGGCAGTACCATTCCAAGTTAAACCAATCAATCAATAATTTCCAGATCAAACCACGAGAAGTCAACGAAAACAAAAACTACATCAAATCAAACTAAATCAGTGAGGAATGGACCAAGAGATATATACAAGACCTGAATTACAGCTGTAGCGACTGCAAAGACAGTGTAGAGATCGATAATCTGCAATTAAACCAAAAAAAAATCGTAAATCCACTATCCAAAAGATTCAAGCACGCACCCCAAACTACACACAGTCCATTACTCTTGTACCTTGAGATTAGTTGGAGTGGCCGCGTAAGCAGAGCGGAGAGAATGAAACAGGTCCTGGGCGTCCTTGGTCGTCGTTGACGTCGTCGATCTCCCCATTTTTCACGCTCTTCAACACTCTCTCTCTGTAATCGAAGACCAGATATGGAGAATGATGATAGTCTTCTCTCAATGAATAAAGGCTCTAAAAAATGAGAACAGTGACAGTGACAGTGATAGTCTTCANACAGTCGTTAACAAGTAAAACTCTTAGGCCCATTTGTAGTCCAAAATAATAAAGCCCAATTTATTTTGATGAAAAGGAAGCGTCAAATAAGAATAAATTTTTTTAAAAGTACTGACAGTGTCTTTAATTCCTGGAGGGACCTAAGAGTACAAGTATAAAGAGAACAACCATGGACAAAATGCAACTCAAACAATAAGAAAATGCTATCGAACCAGTTAAAAAAGCAAATAAAATAGTTACTTTTAATTATAGAAGAAAATTATATGGTTTTTTTATTGATTTGACAGTAATAAGAACAACTAATGTTTTTTTATTATATTCTTATCTTTCATCCCTTTCAATTAAGTTAGATTCTATAACCAATGTTTTAAATATTGTACCATACCGATCAATATTATCAGTAATTTCGAATAACGGTGGTATTGCTTGTACAGTTACCCTCTAAATACCGTTTTGGCCAAAATATAGATTTATATGACTTTCATACCACAAAATACTAGTTTTATCGACCAATGCCGACCAAAATACCGGTTAAAATACTAGATATAGCGACTTTTTTTAAATATTTTTTGATATATTTTTATTGATTTATTTATATAAATTGAAAGTTCTACACTTTATTTTAATATGTTTACATTGTTATTATATTTTAATTATTTTTAATACTTATTAAAATTAATTTTATACATTATTTATATTATAATATATTAGTAATAAATTAATTCAATATTTGTTGAAACTTGTAAGATCGATTGAATCGCGTACCAGTTAAATGGCTCATCCAATATAGTTATCATTGTCAATATTAAAAGTGACTAGAAGAATTCAATCCCACACCACTTCATTACACTTGTATGGTCTGAAAATATCATATCAAAATTTCTGACTTTTTTTGATACGTACGATATATGGCAATTGAAATAAATATAATTATTTTTATTTTTTATTTTTTTAAAAAGGTGACTAAAATAATATAACTACGAATATCAAACATTAATAATGTAATCAAGTTTGTAAATTAAAAAAAAAATATATAATTTAAAAAAAAAAAAAAAAAAAAAAA